TCATAACTATCCTCTACTGATAGCCCAAAAACAGATATTTCTAAACAGATATACAATCTATATAACATATAATTTATCAAATTTCCATAGGTGAGTGATTAATCAAATCCAAATCCACTATCCATTCACACATCTTCCCAATTTCATATTTCCATATCAATTTCATTATTTATACAAAATAATTATTTAACACAAATTAGGGCAATTTTCCCTATTTTCCAAATATCAACCCCAAGGCTAAATTTCACCATTTTAACCTAAGGTAACCTCATATTCAATACCCAATACTCATTTATGGAACCCAACATAGGAAACCCCTCTTTTTAATTTGAGCCCAAACCCTAGTTTACCCAAATCACCCCCAAATCTCATCATTTATACAAAACAACAAATACCTAGGTTAAAACTCATATTAAGGTGTAGAATGTCCCTACCTCAAGTGTAGAAGATCAAAGGAGATGAAGAAGAACCTCAAAAATGCACAAAACCAAGTTTGGTTTGAATGAAATGGAAGCCCACAAGATGCTCCACCTTTTTCTCAAAGGAATTAGGGTAGAGATGCTTGAATCTTGGAGTATTTGTAGAGAGAGAGAGAGAGAGTTTTAGAGAGCGAGGGTGCTAGATTAGGATTTTTAGGAAAAAGGAAATCAAAATGTGATGTAAAATGACTGAACTGCGAACTGATATACGTGACCCTCGCTCGAGCGAAGGAGTTGTCGCTCAAGCGACCAAACACAACAAGTGACCTCGCTCGAGCACAAGAATCGTCGATCGAGCACAGAATGCAAAGCTTCAGAAGTTTTACAGACACGCACACTCGCTCGAGCAAAGAACTTCACCTTTCCAGAAATTTTGCGTCTGGGAAAGAAACCTGAGGACTCTTAATTCTCGCTCAAGCGCAAGAAGCCTCGCTCGAGCAAAGAAGCCAAAATCTGGGCAACAACAATCTAGACCAACTAACAACCAACTTGTTCCAAACACGTCCAACATGTTCCAAAGCTCAAATTCATAGAGTTAAAGGAGGAAAACAAGACATGGATACAATATTAAACCACGAAACTTGAGTCCGGAATGTAAGAAAGGATGGGCCAAAGCCGGGATCGTTATAGATTACCTCCTGTCTGTCTTTTTTGCTTCACCCACTTCGCCTTTTATAATATTCTTGACTTAAACCCATTCGTTGGATTAATGTTTGATTCGAGAGTTCTGCTCGCTTCTGGGTCTGGTCAAGCAAGTGGCCATGTTGCTTTTATCTTTAATCATTGGATCATCGTCTTTCAGACGGCTTAGATTGCGTCAGATGTTAGTGGGTAACTTGCCAAGTGCTATGGTCGTCCAATCAAGCTGATCGGATGGCTGTGCCATTTAGTAAACTTGACCTATGTTTTTGTATTTGCTGCTTGATGTCTTCACCATTAGATGAAGATGAATCCAATGATCCTCTAGCATTCTGCTGATCTCCTTGCTCCTCATACACTCAGTCATGTGCCATTGTTCCGCCAGTAGTCTCTAATGGGCCCCTTAGTAATCTATCTAGGCCTTTCCTTTGGGCCACTTTGTTTAATTACCTTTTGAACTTGGGCTAGCATTTTATCTCTCCACATATATTGTTTACATTGTGTAAACAAATTCACACTCAAATAGTGGCAAAGCATTCATTGTTGATATTTTCAATGATATAAATCCCAACACTGCAAATAACAAACAAAAATTCATATTTCTTGTGTGTGTACACACATCATCATTTCAAAAGAAAAAAAATATTACTTATTTTGACATATTTCTAAACAATAAAGGGAAATTTATTAAGAAAAAATCATCTTTCAAATACTTGTATTCTAATTTGTTCATAAAACATCCTTATATTTCAATAAGTCTTATTATTTTGGGCCTTTAATACACTAAATCCTAATTATCATATTTAAGGTATTTTATAAATAATTTTACCCTTACAAATATTTTTTGAACTCTTACCAATTTGGCTATGTGAATATTTACATTAAATAAATTTGACAGTATGAATGTTCACGTTGACAATGTGAATATTCAAATTGACAGTGTGAATGTTCACATTATAAAATATTTACACTATCAATATGAACATTAATGCGTGCTTTACCCTATTATTATTAGGAGTATTTTGATAATTATGTCACCCATGCAATTTATTGATTTAAGAAAATAATTTAGATCAAGTGAAATATAAATAAATGAAAAGGAATTTATGAATAAATGCAATAAAGAAAAAGTTTATACATGATAACATGTCAAAACAATTGGTGAATAAATGCAATAATTTAAACATCATAACTTGTCAAAACAATTAGTGAGAATAATATGTTAATAACGTAGTAGTGTTGGACATTTTGCACAATCAAAATATGTTAAAAAAGTTTCTCTATAAAATGGAGAAAGTTTTAAGGTGTTTAAGTATTTGACTCATCTTTAAATGTTCAAAAAAAAGTATAAACTTACTTTTTCAAGTTACTAAATTATTAGCAAGTTATGTGTGTGATGAATAATATCTGAGACGATTATGTAAGTCACTATTATGAACTAACCACAAGTTGATTGTCCACTAGAGACAACTTACTTTCTAAATAAAAACATAAAGGGATCTATAATATATATATATATATATATATTTTGTCTTTTTATCATGTTAGTTGATTTTTTCGTAGTGGATTAGAAAGTTAAATAATTACTAATAACCATTTTGTATAATGTTCCATCTTTGTCAAACCCTAGACAAAAGTAACCGAGTTTGAATGGGAATGCATTAAAGAAGTAAACTAATTAGTTTGGGTAAATTATATTGTATCATTAATTTCATTAATTTTTGTAATTTAAAGTATTACTTTAATCTATATAGTTTTTAATTTGAATAATTTTTTTCTTACATTTTTAATTTTGTTGCAAAGTGGTCCCTACGTCACTTACCACTAAAATTTAAAATGGAAAATGACTTTGTATAAGATTTGAGAAACTGAAGTGAAATTCAAAACGAATTATAGGGACCATCGGTGTAATATATTCATTACATCGGTGGGTATTATAATTTGTTTGGCCCCCTTAATGCTGTGTTTGGTTGGGGGATTTGAAGAGGGATTTGGAAAAGGAAATGAAAAAGGAAGGTGAAATGTGAATAAAACATACCTATATTTCACCTAGTTTCACACATTTTTTTTTATTTTCCCTTTTCAAATCCCTCCTCAAATCCCCCAATCAAACACAGCATAAGTTTGCATGTGGTTTTTGCTGTTCAAAATCTTGACAATGTATGACGGAGGGAACACATTACAAGACCAAATAGTTCAAATTAAAATTACAAGAATCAAAGTGAAATTTTTGCTCAAACTAGAAGGACTAATAATGTAATTTACATAATTAGTTTTGATGATCTCATAGCATACGCGTTCTTTTGTTTTTCTTGAATGGATATGGGTTGATGTTGCCGTCCCGAATGACCAAATAATAAGGGGCACTTACCAATAAATTCCATACACAAAGCTCAAAATTTATCTAATTCCAAAACAAAATACTTGTACCAATTAGTCTTACATATTTTTAATTGTTATCAAAAACTCTTTTTTTATTTTTATTTTTATTTTTATAACTTTAAAAATGCTGCTATATCCAACAACTTCCGTCAGACTCACCGAAGACTCGTCGGAATATTCAACATCACCGGAAAGTTCGCTGGAGCATCACCGAAAGTTTGCCGGAGTGTTTTGAGCATTGTCGGAAGTTCGCCGGAGTGTTCTGAGCGTCATTGAAAAATGTCAAGAATATCATCGGAGACTCATCGGAATATTCAGAATATTGCCCGAAAAAAAAAGAATAAATGGAGAAACTATAGTTAAAAAACATAACAATAACAAACAACAATGGGAAAAAGTATATATTGTTTTTCAATTTTTGTAGGGTTTAAACAAATAATCTGTAATATTGATCAAATTAAAAAGTAAGCTTTGAAACTGTAAAAAGTTACAGTTTCAAAGCATTATTCTATTAAGTTGGAAAACATGTTATGAAACTGTAAAATTTTACAGTTCTAAAGAATGTTATGAAACTGTAAAATTTTGTAGTTTTAAAGTATGATTCATTTCAGTACCAAAAAAGCTAAAACTGTAAAATTTTATTGTTTTCACCGCCTGTAATTAAAACTTAAAAACAACTTATTTAGAATTTGAAATTTTTCTCCATTAAAATAGAAAAATAGACGTGTGTAACAGAGAAAAGGTAGAAAAATTGAGAAATCAAAGGAAAGAATAGATATAGAAAGAATATTGTACTCCAACAACCATTTTTTATTTAGATCTAGTTGGATCTCATGTAGATCTGCTCAAATCTAATGTAGATCTCATCTTCTTCGTCGTCGGTGATGATGAAATCACAAGTTGATGTCAGTGGTTGGTGGTTGCTGGTGAACCCTAATCAATGGTGGTCGTTGGTCACCGGTGACTATATATTAGAAAGAGAAAGAGAATAAGGAAGGTATGATCACCTGTTGTCGGACATGATAAAGAGAAAGAGAGGAAAACACAAGAGAGAGAGAGAGAGAGAGAGAGAGAGAGGAAAACGCAAAGAATGAGACAAGAAACAGAAGAGAGAGAGTAAAACATGTAGGATTTTTGGGTCTACTCAAAAAGTTATTAGGTTAAATAGTGTACACATATTTCAAACAGGACCTACGTGTAATTTCTCCAATATTAATAAACAACTATATTTATTTGATAGAGTCCAGTGTTGCACTGCACTACTACTAGAAAGGAAATATTGGACACAAAATGTTTTGCGACGGTTTAAAAATCATTGTCAAATAAATTTTTTTGCAATGGAAACTTCAAGATCATGGCAAAAAATAGTATTTTACGTGACGATTTCTCACCTATTGTCTTTTTATTTTTTATTTTTTTTGCAATTGGTTGTTTTGTTTTGCGACGCCATTTATTCTTCCGTCGCAAAAACTTTTACTTTTGCTTCCCGCGCCTTCCTCTTTGCCCTATCTTCCATCCCCTTTCAGTATGCTCTTCTCAAATCAACTAAAAAAAGGAAAAACAACCGTCTGTCTTCTCTAGTCGCCATTCTCTGTCTAACTAGAGCTCCCAGTCATCACAGCCCCAACAGCACCAGCGTGGGAAGAGGTAACCCTCCTCTCCTCTCCTCTCCTTTTCTTCCCTCTCACACTCGCTCGCACCAACTCTCACAATCTCTCTCTCTTGCTTTCGCTCTCGAGTTAGCCTCACAGACTGTCTGTAACAGCGGCGGCAGCGACTTCTCACGGGTTCTCCATCCGGCATCCAGGTATATCTCTCCTCTGCTTTCCTTTGTTGTTCACTCCTCTTTTTCTCTTCTTTTGCCTTCATTGGAATCAAACCCTCTTCATTGGATTTTAACCCTGAACACCAATTTAAAAAAAAATTAGGTTTTGATCTCAATTGAAAGAGGGAAACAAGTGATCGTTCTGGATCTTTTGGATTTTCCCATGAAGTGTACTGTGGATATAACCTCATAAAGCGCCTACCCCAATCTCTGCAAGTATACATTTTAATTGGACAAAGCCTCATGGAAGCTAAAGCTTCACATATTTTTCTGTAATATAAGCATTTTAATACTTAACAAAAATCAAAACTCTGAAACACGTAACAAACACTGTTAAAATAAATTGATGACTTAATAACAAAAAAATAGTAAAATAAAAACATGCCCCTCTTGGAGTGGGGGAAATTCAGCGAATATTCTACCTGAAACTCCAATGCTGAATCATTCAACACTAATAGAATTGGTGTTCCAATGCCAGTTCTCTAGTTAGGCCAGGTACTGTTGAATATTTTTCGTGTAATCTGAATGTTAACTCCTTGCCGTTTGTCTTACATGAAAATTTCATTTGAAATGTGATTTTGCGGGAAGTTATTAGAATTTAGCCAAATAGTTTTGGCCTAGTGAATTGAGATGATGCAATGAAGAAATACTTTATGCTTTTAAAATAGGAATTTACTGACTAGGAATTTTATGTCTATATCAAAATTGAGAACTTGGGAGAAGATGACAATCAATAATCTTTTTCACTGAGTTAATGTTAAATTTTCTAGAGGAAACAAAACATAGTAAGTATTTAATTACAAAATTTGTGGTTCCTTGAATTATTGTTAAATTTAGTTAGATTTAACAATAAGAAGAAGAATAGAGAATAAAAGAGAAATTGTATATTGGGATGGGAAGAGAGAGAGTGAATTAGGATTCTCTCCATCATCCTCTTGTATTAATATTAAGGGGTTGTTTAGGGTGTTCTCAATAAGCAAACTTTTTGACTTTTTGGACTAAAAAGTTGAAGAAAAAAGATAGTTGTTTGGGATAACTTTTTGACTTTTTACTAAAAAATGTGTATTAAAAAATTGTATAAATTAGTGTATATGAGAAGCTTGGGCAGAGTAGGCAGTACGGTGGGCAAAGTAGTGTATAGGAGAAGCTTGTCTCCTTTTCGGGCATTGAATTGGACGATACTGTTTGGCTTGTGGGGGTCCACCACGGGTCCCGTTTTGCTAATTGGAACCGTTCAATGTATAAAACTCGTTGAGTACTATATGCTTGTAAACAATCACGTTAATCGAATATCGATATCTATCTGATCAGTGTAGTTTTTTGTCAGCTGTTAACTCTAACACCATCCATTTTTTATACAAAACGGATTTGATCATGTAGTTAGCGGTATCCGATCAACTTGATTTTTTACAGGCATATATTACTCGAGGAGTTCTACACATTGAACGGTTCAGATTATCAAAACGGGACTCGTGATGGGCCCCCATGGATCGAACAACACCGTCTTGTTTGCTTCTCCGCCTGTTCCTTTTGTACAAACGGTGGGCAGCTAAAGTACAACTCACATGACATGTGAGTTGTACTTTTTTTTTGTAAAATTATTTTTTTTATATTTTTTTTTGGTGAATAGTGATAACTTTTTAACTTTTTTATTAACTTTTTGGCTTTTTTGAGGTATCCCAAACCAGCCCTAAATTGGTAACTACAAATACACTTCCAAGTTTACATAACACGTGATACTTAATGCCCAACTTGCAAATAATGGGGTGAAAATTCTTACTACCAAGCCTTTTAGTGAATATATCTTCTAACTGACATACAAATCAAAACCTTGCTCAACTTTTTCTTAATAAATTGTCTGTCAACTTCAATATTCTTGGTTTTATCATGTTGAACTATATTATGAGCAATGTTGATGGAACCTTATTTTGAAAAACCATAAACAACATTCGAGAAACAAAAGAAACCCATAAAGCTTCATTTAAGCTCCAATTACCTCAGCTGCTGCCTCAACAGGCTCCTCAGCAGGCCTTTCCATTTTCACTCCAACATCCTCCGTAGAGTAGTCACCATGGACCTCCATCAACTTGCCAAGATCAAACTTGGGAGCTTTCAAGTTCTTGACTTTGCAAATGAAGACATTCTGCAGAGGGTAGATGCTTGAAGTTGTCTTCTCAATCTCCCTATCAATTGATTCAGGAATAAACTTCTGGACCAAATCCTTCAGATCACAAGATTGCGCCTGGTTTACCATGATCAGAATATAGATCTTTCAACTAAACCTAGAGCCACATAAGCTCCCAAATTCCATGAGCCACATAAGCTGCCACATAAGCTCACAATATAGATCTTTTAGTTTCTTGAAACTTCTAATTTTTAATGAAAAATTAAGTAATTTTTCTCTTTTCAATGCATCTCAAATTATGAACAACTTTGCTTATGTTATGAAAGTAGAAAGAGAAGAGAAAAGAGAAACTATATATTGAATTGAATAATGAAATACAAGAAGCATGTATTTATAGGCTGAGAAGAAACGTAGATAAGTATAGAAAAGGAGATAAAGATACATCAGAGATAATTATAGAAAAAGAGATGAGATACATCTATAATACAGATAGATAATTATAAAACAATCATATATATATATCTAACAGCTTATCTTCACAAATTTATATTTGTAATTACAGTTCGTCCTGAGAAATTTGCTAAAATAATTCTCTTTTTCTTGTTTGTTGGGTTCATTTAACAGTTTTTTTCTTATTAGTATTTTATTGACAATTTCTTGCAGAACCAATTACTTGCAATGAATTACATACATGAGGGAACAGATGATAACATATGGGTTAAGAACAATTTTAAGTTGAAAGATTACTCAATTAATGATATTCGTGTCAATCTTTATCAAGTGAGAATTGGCAACTGAATCATAAAACTGAGGCAGCAGTGGGAGTGTTGGTTGCTGTTTTGTTCTGTTAATGCTGGTGCTATTTTCTTTTTATTGTTTTCTGTTGGTGTCTTGCCAACATTTAGTGTGTCAATCTAGTTGAGATATGTTCCACTAGCAATGATGCAATGTTATCACCAAACTACTGGATTTGAAAACAATTCAAATTTGCAGATGTTATAATAGCGGTTAGTGTTTCGATAATGATACTTCTCCAACTCCGGCAACGTTCATGCATTCCATAGCTATAGCAAACATGCAATTTCCAACACATTCTGTATTGAATAATTGCATACCATAGCAAATAATAAAGCCTTTTGTCTTGAGTACAATTCTATAGCACAATAAATGTGTTCTTTAATACTATCAACTATTCTCTTAGCCCTTCTGTCTCTTTCTATCCATGCAGCTGTAACAGCTTTAATAAAAGACCTTATTCTATCCTTTTACAATTGTTTGAGGAGCAAAAACTAACAAAATAGTTACTAAAGCTAGACACAGCTTAGTTGGGCCAATTGTAGAAGACTTGCATAGTGCCTATCTAAGAAGCATGGACACGGGCACGTGACACGACACGGACACGCTGACACGTTAATTTTCAAAAAATGTAGGACACGACACGTGAGGGACACGCATGAAATATGTAATTTTATATATTTATTATATGTTATATATATGAATATATCATTAAAAAGATAATAAAAAATACAATATGATACTAATTCCTATAAATTTATATAGTTTTTGTTTTATTATTGTATCTTAAGTTGTTTTGTTCAAACTTATAATTAATTTCACATATGTCTAATCGTTAGACACTTGTATTTAAGCGATGGACACGTATGTCCTTCAAGTGTCCAAAGAGTGTCCAAGTCTTTAAAAAAATTTAAAAAATAGGACACGTTTTGAAGAGTGTCGGACACGTGTCCTGAGAGTGTCCAAAGAGTATCGGTGTCCGACACGGATACGACACGAATACGTCACCTTCTTAGAAGTGTCCGTGCTTCTTAG